TGAGCAGGAGACTGATACCCCTTATCAAGGCACTTAGTGGCTTCTGCAGAAAAATGCCAACTGACTTCAAGTGTCAGAAGTTTCGAAGGGAGAGGCAACAGCAGGAAAACTACTACTTTACTGACCTGGAGGCACTCCAGAAGAAATGGTGGATGAAGTCAGCAGGCCAGTGCCCACAGCAGTCACAGCAGCCACGTCAATGGTGTAGGTGGTGAGAGATGACAGGCCTTTAATCTTATACTCATGGGTTGTGCTGTTCAAAGTGTGTGTGAGACGAGAGTCGTTCTTTCCATACACCTCCCAGGAAATCTGATAGCCTACAGAGTAATAATACAAGAGTTGATTCAGGGTCTCCTGCAAGCCCAGGGCTGAGGCTGAATGTCACGGTGTTATGTTTGGAAATCTGGACAAATCTGCTAGAGCCCATTAGAATCCACTGCCCCACCAAAATAAAGCTCAGAGTCAAGGCTCCTGCTTTGTGCTCCCATAGAGTTCTCCTGCACCCTTCTCACAACACTAGCGCCTGTCTTTCCCTGGCAGAGAGAGCTTCAGGAGGACGGGGGCTTGTCTGAGATTCAGGTAACCTCACCTGGTACATAGACTGAAGAATGGTGAGTGATGACTGCCAGCCTGCTGTGCTCTATTTCACCTTCTCTTGTCAAATTACGGATGCGTTTCTCTAATGTTTCCATTTTTATAAGCTGATACTTTCATTATATAGTACCCTAAATCAGTGGCATGCTTTTGGGCTGCAAATAATTTGTGGAAACTCTTCTACCTTTTTTCCTTTATGAAATGATCGATAGGCCACTCTGTCATTTTGCAAAGAGTTTTGCTTGAAAAAATTTCCTTTAATCTGAGTTCATGAGTTTTGCTTCTTGCTCTGCCTCTCCCCTTTTTGAATATCCTGTTTTCCCAGCAAAATTTGATTTTCCCCTATACTCTGTTCAGTCCAGTGAGGCCTCATGATCACAATTTATTCAACCTCAGATTCCATCATGATTTGGGGCTTAGAGAAAAAAGACTCAACTAGCTCCTGAATCAACCTCCTTGGAGGGGAGTTTATGTGATTAGAGAATGCTTAAAAGTGTCTTTTAAAGAGGGAGACAATGATGGAAAGAGCTCATGGGTCCAAAGGAAAACCACCGAAAATGCTTGCTCTTTCTTCTTTTCAGTCAATAAACTCTGTGATACTGAAGCACTAGGACATATCTTAAACTTCCTTCTCATTCTGAGGGAAGTAATAAATAAAGTTAGAAAGTTGCACTTACAGGTAAACAAGAATTTAGAGGATAGCGTCTTGGGACTTTAATATTTAAAAAAAATAATTAATGTCAGGACCGGCTCCCTGCTTGCTATCCCCGCAGCCTTCATACAGCCCGGCAACGTCTGTATGCTGACACAGGTGACTGACTTCCTTGCTGGGGTGGTACAGAGGGAACATGAAAGAAATAAAGGCAACCAGAGGGGTGGCCTGATCACTCGGTACCTCAAGGGCACATTAGAGCCCCCAGATTAAGTGAGCTGAGTCACTGAGTGGAGGCGGCTCTCCTGGCTTCTGGGCTCTGCCGCAGGCCCATGTGGCTCACTGGACCGTCCTCCTCTCTGTGTTTGCCTACGCTGTGCAGCCTCTCCAGCCCTAGTCCGTCTTGAGCAGCCTGACCACCAGGCTGACCACCCACTGCTGCCTCCTCCCCACTCCTAGCCCTAATTCTCGACCCTAGAATCTCCCTCCTCCTCATCTGCCCACCACGATGTCTGGTCTGCTCATTCTCAATGGACCAGCAATAAAGTCACAATGCTCTCCATCAGTTCTTTCTTTTTGGCTAATTCAGAATTTTGGAAATAAGTGTACAATCAGAAACACAAAAACCTTCAGGACCATGAGTACTAACAACATCAAATACACATAGAGGGTATTTACAATGATTCTGGTAGTGTTCTAAGCACTTCGCCCATATTGATTCACTTAACCCTCACAACACACCTTTGAAATTGGACCCATTGTTATCCCCATTTTACAAAAGAGGAAAACAAAGCCCAGAGAGCTTCATGAACTTGCTGGAAACCTGAACTGTCCTGCTCTAGAGCCCAGGCTCCTCCTTAAGGCTACAATATCCTGCTTCCCACAGAGCCTCCTTCTTCACCACCTTCTCTTGATGTGTTTAAGTAAACTTGAAAACCATCCCTTACCTTGGTAGGTCATGCCTGATAAATCTCTAAATAATTGCATATTCAGGGCTACTCTGCATGTATAAGAAGAGGAAGGTTTGTATAATACTACAACCTTGTCTGCCAGACAATTTTATTTATTTAAAAACTATTCTCCAGGCTGGCCAGTTAGCTCAGTTGGTTAGAGCCTGGTGCTGATAACACCAAGGTCAATGGTTCGGATCCCTGTACTGGCCAGCCACCAAAAAAAAAAAAAA